GAACTTTATTAGAATAATCTATTGTTAACCTCGTTGCAGGCGACCAAGAACCTTATTAGAATAATATATTTTTAACCTCGTTGTAGGCGACCCCAATGTATTTACGGTCTCTGGGCGACCCAGAACCTTATTAGAATAATCTATTTTTAACCTCGTTGCAGGCGACCAAGAACCTTATTAGTAGAATAATGTATTTTAACCTCGTTGTAGGCAACTTCCTGGTTGGTTAAGCCCGGTGCCCATTGTGGCGCGAGATCGGTTTTGTTCGGTTTGGTGTCGGAGCTATCCAGATTTTCCTCCATGGAGAGAGAAAAGCTACTATCGTGGCACAAACAGAACATAACCGACGATGTCCTTCAAGAGCAAATGATGGTTTTCAAGGCAGCAAGTCGAGTGATCGGTCTGAGGCAGGGGTTTAGATTTTATCTAGATCTATAAATATTATATAGTGTGACCTGAAGCCAAAGATTCTCTACTGCACGATCTTTGCTGAAGCCACCAGAAACGTAACGTAACCGAACATAACCGAACCGGACCGGACCGGACCGGACCGGACCGGACCGGACCGGACCGAACCGAACCGATTCTCCAGGGGGCACCGCCTATTACAATAAGAACATATTAATAGGCCTGTGCCGCGGCGTAGAAGAATCATGCGTTCGTCAATTTTTAGGCATATTATAATATAGCGTTTTTGGTTTCATAATAAAGTGTGTTCACTTGTATTGAGTTTGATGAAAAAGGAGGCCCTACCCATCTATATCTTGACTAGAATTCGAAGTATGAGTAATTGAAATAGCGATATATTACCGCCCCCTCACCCTAAAAAGATATTTTACTTGTATATGTACATGTATATCATAAATAAAAGAAAAGAAGTTAGAACATAATATGACAATTACAATATCAGTAACAACTTTTTTAGAATTTAAGACGAAAAATATTTTTTAGACTTAAAAAAATGATGATGATGATGATGATAATGATGATGATTTTTAATCTTATGCTAAAGTTTTAACAATAACATTAATTAAGAAAGAAAGGAAAAAAGAAAGAAAGAAAGAAAAAAAGAAAGAAAAAAGAGAGAGAGAGAGAGAGAGAGAGA